AAAATTAATTTTTTCATTTATCATTTACCTTAGGTCAAAGTAAATAGTAATTGAGTAATCATTTTAACCTTGGGCGCACTGTAATTTAAAAAAAATACTGAGTTACAGTAAATAATTCAAAACTCAATTTCTTTAAAAAAAAAGGAAAAAGCAAAACCATTTTTTTTTACTCTGACCGCTAAAGTAAACCTTAAATGGTAATTATGTTGCACTTTTAACCTTGGACCCACTATAACTTAAAAAATTTACCGAGTTACAGTAAATAATTCAAAATTCAATTTATTTTTTTTTAAAAAAAGAAAAAGCAAAACCAAGATTTTTTTTTTTTTTTACTTTGACCGCTACAGTTGAATTTTGAATTATTTGCTGTAATACTGCAAATTTTTTAAGTTACATTGGGTCCAAGGTTAAAAGTACAACATAAGGTTTACTGTAGTGGTCAATTACTTATAGTGGGTCCAAGGTTAAAAAAACAACGTAGCGGTCAGAGTAAAAAAAAATCTTGGTTTTCTTTTTTCTTTTAGAAAAAAAAATGAATTTTAAATTATTTACTGTAATTCCGTAAATTTTTTAAGTTACAGTGAGCCCAAGGTTAAAAGTGTATTATAGTTACCATTTAGGGTTTATTATAGCGGTCAAAGTAAAAAAAATCTTGGTTTTGCTTTTTCTTTTTTTTTTTAAAAAACTTAAATTTTGAATTATTTATTGTAATTCGATAAATTTTTTAAGTTACAGTGGGCCCAAGGTTAAAAGTGCAACATAATTATCATTTAGGATTTACTGTAGCGGTCAGAGTAAAAAAAAAACTTAATTTTGGTTTCTTTTTTTAAAAAAAATTTGAATTTTGAATTATTTACTGTAACTTGATAAATTTTGTAAGTTACAGTGGGCTCAAAGTTAAAAGTGCAACATAATTATCATTTACTGTATACTTAAAGTAAATAGTAAATAAAAAAAATAATTTTGAAAATAATGATAAATTTTAAAATTTTATAATAATATTTTTAATTAATAAATAATATTTTAACTATTAAATAATGAATTTTTAATTTTAAAATATTTTTAATGATTTAAATTTTAATAAAAATTCAAATTAAATTAAAAGATAAAAATACCCCTGATTCCGGCATGTCAACGGCCGAAAACAATGAAATGGCCAAAAAAATGCGAAAATATAATGTTTGGGACTACGGTATTGAAATGTTAATGTTAGGGACGTAAATTTAAGTAGGCCCAAATATAAGAGACCAGTTGGACATTTTAGTCTTTACAAAAGAACCCAATTAGATTATTTGTATTATACATTAACCAAACTAATTATATATATATATATATATATATATATATTGGAATCACATATCTATTTAATATGCAAATAATTATTTTAATATCAATTGAGTAGTAAAGTTTTAAATTTATGTTAATTGATTAATAATTAAAAATAAAATTCATATATTATCGCAAATGAAAAAAAATACATTATCAAATTAAACGAATGCAAAATAAATATTACATTTACAATAATAAGCCGAAAACATCAATAGGATTCTCCATGTAATAATTCACTAATCTTCTATTTCTCCTCCAATCCACCAGTTTGTTCCCATAAATGATCTATCAAAGCATTTCTCAATTTAAAATGAGCATCTCGGTCCCTAATTTTTCAATATCGAACAATGAATTGTTGGAACTGTTCATGCTCATTTGATACCCTTTCTACTGTCGGCTGTGGTGTTTCTCGTTCAACTATCATTGATCCATTGAGATCATTCTCATCCTCCACAATCATGTTGTGCATGATAATAAAAGCTATCATAGTATCATGCAACACTTCCTTGTCTCAAAAACGAGCGGATCCTTTTATTATTTTATAACCTTGATTGCAAAACTCCAAAGTCACATTCCACATCTTTTCTACAAGTCTCATGCTTGGTTTTAAAATACTTGTATTTTCGGAGTTTAGGATTTTGGATTGACTACACTATCGTGGCCCATTTCGGGTAAATACCATCAGCTAAATAATATCCCATATTATATTATTCTCCTTTAAGAACATAATTAGCCGGAAGTGCAATAGCTTGAGTAAGATTATAAAATAAATGTGATGATTCCAAAACATTAATATCATTATTTGTACCTGGCATACCAAAATAAGCGTGCCATATCCACAGGTTATAATCAGCTATAACCTCAAGATTGATTATTGGTTTACCAGAACGTCCTGCATATTGTCCGGCCCAACCATAGGGGTAATTTTCCACTCCCAATGCATGCAATCTAGACTTCCCAACATGCCAGGAAAACCACGTTGTTCACCAATATATAGTAGTCTAGCAATGTCATTTGCAGTTGGTGATCTAAGGTACCATTCTCCAAAAATCTAAACAATTCCACGACAAAAATTCTTACAACACGCAATAGCAGTTGACTCACCCATTTGAAGATACTCGTCTAAACCATCTGCAGAATTGTCATATGCTATCATTCGGATGGCAGCAGTTGCTTTCTATAGGGGTGAAAACCCCAATCTACCAAAAGCATCCCTTCGTTGTTCGAAAGATTGATTGTAATTTTTAAGAGCATCCACAATACGGAGGAATAAATTTTGAGACATACGAAAACGTAGTCGAAATTGTTGGTCAGTGTATCGTGGATTTTCAGAGAAATAATCACCAATCAATCGCAAATTCACAGTCGCTGTTGATCACGATTCGTCCCGGAATTGACCTGCCTCGAGCAACCTGGTTCTGTTGATGATTGAACTGCAAATTCATTGCTATTATATTTCTCCGCATAACATCACGTATGATTGATTGACGTTGTTGTTGTAGTTGTTGTAGTTGAACTAAAACTTCATCATCACTACGACGATGATGATGACGATGATTGATGGTCTTCAATATTTGAAGAACCTTTCTCGTAATAGCTCATTGGTTTGTCTTACAAAAAGAGAGGAAAAAAATTATCAATGGATTAAGGAAAAGAAACTTTGATGCTTGATACGTATTATTGGGATGTTATTTATAGAGATTTTTTTAAGCGATAAGATAAAGAAAAATCCATTTAACGGTTAAGATAAAATTGAAATCTAATCCAACGGCGTATATAATGATAAAGAAATCATATACTATCTATGCATTTTTGTTCCCTTGTGAATGCACGTCTAAAACTTAGAGCAAAGGGACAAAGCCTTCATTGTCAATGTGAAGACAAGAAATTTTTTTTAGAAAATCAGCACAAAAGGACAATAGATTTTATATAGGCTATGCAACGTATTGGTAGAAATAATTTTGACAAATACATCTATCTAAATTTGTGTGCCAAAGCTGAAAAAACAGTAACTTTTTTCAAAAAAAAAAATTCAAACTGATGACATTTTTTTTTCTTACATGACAAAGAAAAAAGACAAAAGCAACAATTTGTGAAAGAATACATTTTTGCACATCTAAATTTGTGTGCCAAGAATTAATAAAACAGCATGGCAAAAAAAAGAGATAAAAGATTAGGTTATCCACTTGTGGATAAAAAAAATTCAAATGCACGGTTCAGATGGTAAAGAAATCTAATGAAGGGTGGAGATGATGATCATGAATAGTACATTATCTGATTTATTGATCAACTTTTTCCGTGACTTTTGTTAGATAAGCCCGAGTCATTCATTATACAAGGTAATAATAATCTCATTTGCAAAATCATAAATAAAAGTGGTAAAAACTAAAAACTTGATTGAAGCACTTTGGAAATTGGGAAGAGACCTGAAGATGAGAGGTTAGGTGCATTTATCACCATCATAATTCATAACTACTCTCAAAAGATCTCCCAAAAAAAATACTCCTCAAAAGTATCACCACTCTCAAGTTGTCACCTCAACTCACCAATCAACAGAACAGGAGCGCCCCTGCATTATAACGATCTGCTACTGTTTGAAATTCTCCATGTGCTTCTTTGATTGCCTTCCATTTACTGGTCCGGTTGAATTTGAATTCCTTAGTTGAATTATACTCCCTCCGTTCTAAAATAAGTGTCGTTTTAGTAAAATGGAAAAATTTCAAAATAAGTGTCGTTCTCACATTTCAATGCACTTTTGTCCAAAATTTCCAAAATTACCCCCAAAAGAATTAATACTATTGGTGAACATTTTTTAATTGGGGTTGGTTGAGGTTATTCAAGTAATTTTATTACCCTATTTAAGAATTTCTTAAACTATGTGCAAAGTGTAGGACGATACTTATTTTGGAATGGAGGGAGTACTAATGATCTAGTACAGGACTCTCGATCTGGTTGAATTCATCATACTGGTAACATTAAATAAACAGTAACCGACTAAATGGAAAGACGAAAGGTGTCTCGAAATTCGTCCAACACTAGTAATTGGTACTTCTTCTATTTCAAATTGTAGGTCGTTTTAGGTTTGGAGAGATTTTTAAAAATGTACTCCCTCCATTTCAAAATGTAAGTCTTTTTAGACTTGACACATAAACTAAGGAGACAATCATCCAACAATAAATTAGTATTAAATATCTTTTTTACCCCTCATTAATTATGTTGAAACTATAAACAAGACTAAATAAAAATAAATTAGCATCATTTATTGAGGATAAAGTTGGAAAATAGTCATTAGTTTGCCTAGAATTTGTAAAACGACCTATATTTTGAAAAATCTCTCCAAACCTAAAACGACCTACATTTTGAAATGGAGGGAGTAAGCCGTTTTACAAATTTTAGGCAAATTAATGATTATTTTTCCAACTTTACCCTCAATAAATGATACCAATCTATTTTCATTTAATATTGTTTATAGTTCAATGTAATTAACAAGGGGTAAAACAAATAATTAATACATAATTAATTGTTGGATGATTGTCCCTTTAGTTTACGTGCAAAATTTAAAAAGACATACATATTGAAATGGAGAGAGTAGTACACGTTGAGTCATTTCTTTTGGAGAAAGAATGACCTGAGAAAACCCCACCAGAATCTGATTGGAAAAAAAAAACACACACACACAAACGAACTATGGATGATCCCACCAAACAAAAATCCTATTTGTCCTAGGAACCAGAAACAATGGATGATCTAATCAAACATATATCTGAAATGTCACAGCAGCAACCACTGAAGGACCGGCCCAAGTGTAATCCTCCGCAAATACTCAAGCTATATGGCACGGATTTAACCAAGATGGCTAAACAGGCAAAAATCCATATAAAATATAATCCCTTCGTCCTCCCAACATGAATCATTGCTACTACTGTATTTTGATGTATACATTTTAATTTTACCGTTTGTTATATGTTTCAGGGCAAATTGGATCCGGTAATTGGAAGAGAGCAAGTAATAAAGCAAGTGTTACAAATTTTATGCCGGAGAAAGGAGAGCAACGCATGCCTAATCGGTAAACCTGGTGTCGGAAAAACTGTCATTGCTGAAGCATTAGCCCAGAAAATCATCAGCTCTGATGTCCCAGAAAGTCTCCTAAACAAAAGGGTAAGTAATGTATTTTAATTTTAAAAGTTAAAAAGCTACAAACTTTTAGTGAGTTGTTAGATGTTGAAGTTTTTAATGTGACCGAATCTATCACAGATTATCTCCAATGAATCTGGGTAGAGCAAGTGCAGAAGCAGCCAGCAGTCTAGCCTATGGGCGGTTGGTCTCTAACGTTGTTAATGAAGTGAAACAGAGCAATGGTGAAGTTATTCTTTTCCTTGATGAACTACACATGCTAGATGGGAAAGCGACCTACATTATGAAAAACCATCTTGCTCAAGGGGACCTCAAGGTACATGACAATTTCTGCATTTTTACATATGTTGTCAATTTTTTTTGGTAGTTCTGTATTTATCATCTCATATATATATTGTTATTGATTCAATCAATCAGTGCATTGGGGCTACAACGCCCAAAGGATATAGGAAATTCATTGCGGAAAATCCCGCCTTGCAACGGACATTTCAAGTGGTACGAGTTCCTGAGCCTTCCGTTGGTGAAACAATTGAGATTCTGAGGGGGCTCAAGAGTAAATTTGAGGTTCATTATAGTGTTGTATACTCGGATGATGCTTTGATCACAGCTGCAGAACTTTCAAATCAATGCATTAGGTCAGTTTCATAAAAGTCACCATTGTGTGTGTGTGTGTGTGTTTTTTTTTTTCTTTCGGCCCTAGATTTTCCTGGCAATTTTTATCATTAACCTTGTGGGGTGATTTGTAGTGATGCTTATTTTCCAAACAAGGCCTTAGCTGTCATGGACGAGGCGGGAGCCAGTGTTCGTTGTTATGGTGGTGGAAATAATGCTAATGAAGAAAATGAACAGCATTGTGGTGGTGAGCAACCAGTTAATGGTGGTCTTGTTAGTTCTGACAATGTTGTGAGTTGTGAAGTGATCAAACAAGTGATTTCTTCTCGGGTTGGGACTCCGATTGAAAAAGTACCAGAAGATAAATCCTTTCAGCTTCTTGACATGGAACGAGTGTTTGGTAAGAAAATCATTGGACAGGATGAAGCAATACAAGCAGTTGCCAAAAAAGCAGTTCGCAGAGCTAGGGTTGGCCTAAGCAACCCGGATGGTCCCATTGCGACTTTCCTTTTCACAGGGCCGACTGGTGTTGGAAAAACTCAATTGGCAAAGTTACTAGCTATGGAATATTATCGATCCAATGAATCAATGGTTAGGTTGGACATGAGCGAGTATATGGAAAAACATTCAGTTGCTAGACTCTTTGGATCACCTCCGGGTTATGTTGGATATCGTGAAGGCGGCCAATTAACAGAACCAATCCGCAAGAAGCCTCGCAGCTTGATTCTTTTCGATGAGATCGAGAAGGCTTATGTGGATGTTTTTAATGCATTGCTTCAAGTTCTTGATGATGGAAGATTAACAGATGGGAAAGGGCAAGTTGTTGATTTTAAAAGCACCATAATTATAATGACATCCAATGCCGGGTTCCATCATTCCTCTTCTTCTGAAGATCAAGGATATGTAAGTACAGAGCTGAAGAGGATTTTTCGGCCAGAGTTCCTCAACAGGATCGATGAGATTGTTGTGTTCAAAAGTCTTACCAAGGTCGAGCTGACAAAAATTGTGGAGATAATGTTAGCGGAAGTTTGTGAAAGATTGGTTCAAAAGAACAACATAACTGTTGAAGTTTCAATGGGATTCAAGGAGAAACTGATATCTGAGAGTGGTTGTGAGGAGGCCAACAATTATGGAGCAAGGCCACTGAGGAGAGCCATAACCAAAAATCTTGAAGAGAAGTTGGCTGAGAGCATTTTGAATGGCGAAGTCAGGGAAGGCGATTCTGTAGTCGTCGATGTTAATTCAGAAGGTAATCTTGTTCTTTCTCGAAAGAGGAATAAACATTAGGAAAAATAATCAGGATGCACAAAGAGCATTTTGGGTTGTGGCTCTTAATTATGGTGTATTTAGGCCATTTTCAGGTGGCTTTTGTAGCCGCGGTATATATCTACATATGTAGTTATCATCTCTTTGCTACAAAAGGCCTTTTGAGCTCTGATTATTTTGTCACCTAAAAAAAAAAAAAAACTTATAATTGATCATCTGCACTGTTAATCATGGCGATGACTTAATACGATAATTTTTATCCAAGCGATTTCGGATCCTTATAAATCTATTTAGTATAATCTTTATATAGTTTGCCATAGTAATAGTTCTGTCTTTATGATGCAAATCGAAACATGTTTTTGCACTTGACACAAAGGGAACATCACATTGTCATATTAATTAGCTGCGATTTTGAACTACTTTGCGACCATTGTAGTAAAGGGTCAAGGGTTTTACAATGCCGGTTGTGATAAATGATACTACAGTGATACACAGCAAAACTAGGAATATAAAAAAGAAGTGGTAAATTTGATTTCGATTCATTTGAAGGACGTACTTTGCAAATCTGGAAGGAGCTGCGTTTTTAACACCGCCAATATTACTTAGTCAAAAAAGTATGATCACTCTAGAGTTATCAGTCTTCACCTCATTTCAGATTTTACTCACCGCTTAACAGAACTCCCTAATGAAATGGAATGACCAGCCTTTTGAGCTTTTTTAAGTTATTACTAATAATTTGTAAAACTCTAATTGGGTCTAATTGTAAAACATAAATTATGATTGATGTTAGTTCAATTTTTTTATTTTTAATAAGTAGGACATGAAGAATAGTCAACTCTTGACATTAGTGATAAGATAGCATCAAAGGACTATTGAAGAGTGGCGATCATGACTTCCAGGTTATCCATCGAGTGCGAACTGTGATGACTCGGTCAGATCAAGTATTTGCATCCAGCAAAAGATCCCGATCCTAGGGCCTCTGTGATCGATGTTTTATTACTTGCTGATCATATGAGTCTTTGAAATCATTTTATTAGATTATGTTACTTTAATCTAGGCTCTTGCTAAGAGTGAGCATTGACACAAACTAAATGGCCGGCATAAAATATGATACTCTATTGATTGGTCTACAGAGGGACTATATATACACATCATTTAGGGTTTACGGTGGAAATCCTAGTACGTACAAAGGTCGAAAATAACCCTATACAAATATATATACATATATCGTAACACCCCCCCTCAAGGTGGAGCATGCGGGTTTCGAATGCCCAACTTGGACAAAAAATAAGAAAACTGCCGTTGACCCAAAGCTTTAGTGAAAATATCGGCGAGCTGTGACGCAGTGGGAACATAAATAGGTGAAATGACCCATTGAATAAACGCATCTCCCAAAAAATGACAATCAACCTCGATGTGCTTAGTACGCTCATGAAAAACCGGATTTGCAACAAGATGAAGCGCAGACTGACTATCACAATGAAGGCGCATAGACTGAGAATGGCGAACATCCAAACTCAGTAACAAAGCCTTCAACCACTTCAACTCACAGATAGTATTAGCCATAGCATGGTATTCAACCTCTGCAGACGAGCGAGAGACAACTTGCTGCTTCTTAGTTCGCCAAGAAATAGGAGAAGCACCAAGAGTAATAAACCAGCCAGTGAGAGAACGTCGAGACAGAGGACAACTAGCCCAATCAGAATCACACCAACCATAAAGCTGGAGGTCACAATCTGTACGAATCAAAATACCCTGACCTGGATGTTGTTTCAAATAACGAACAACCCGGAGAGTAGCCTCCCAGTGAGCCTGTTGTGGAGCCTGCAGGAATTGAGCCAACATATGAACCAAGTAAGAGATATCAGGACGGGTGACAGCAAGATAGATCAACCGACCAACCAGACGACGATACGGCTCAGGATCAGAGAGTGGAGAACCCTGAGCCAGAGGAAGACGATGATTCTGGTCCATGGGAAAAGTAACAGGTTTCGCACCCAAAAGACCAACTTCTGAGAGAATATCCAAGGCATATTTTTGTTGACATAAAAATATGCCAGACGAATTACGGGAAACCTCAATACCCAAGAAGTACTTAAGAGGGCCAAGATTCTTCATGTGAAAACAAGTACTCAAATACTGTTTGAAAGTAGTAATAGCAACATGATTATTACCAGCCAAAACAAGATCATCAACATATACCAACAGACTAAGAGAAATACAACCACGATGAAGGGTAAACAAAGAGTAGTCAGCGAAAGATTGCACAAAACCATACTACTTTAAAGCCTGGGTAAGCTTAGCAAACCAGCAATGAGGAGCCTGTTTAAGACCAACAGAGACCGACGAAGCTGACACACCTGACCAGAAGTGCCGGTGCGAAAACCAGGAGGAAATTTCATATAAACCTCATCATAGAGATCACCATGAAGAAAGGCGTTATGGACATCCATCCGGTGAAGCTCCCAGTTTTTGGCGGCAGCAACAGCAAGAAAGGTACGAACAATGACCATTTTGGCAACAGGCACAAAAGTCTCCTGGTAGTCAATGCCTTTAACCTGATTATTACCAAGGATAACCAGACGAGCCTTATAGCGCTCAACAGAACCATCAGCATTATATTTTATCTTAAACACCCACTTACAACCAATGGCGCGCTTGCCAGGAGGAAGGGAAGTAACTTCCCAGGTGTGATTTTTCTCCGAAGCACGTATCTCATCATGCATAGCAGAACGCCATTTGGCATCTTGCATGGCCTCACAAAAGGATCGAGGCTCAACGCCTGCAGTAATGGCTGCCAAGAAAGTTCGATGCTGGGGTGAAAAAGAATCACAGTTTACAAAATGTGTTATAGGATAAGGAGTACCTGAGGACTGAGCAGGTGAGTGAACAGCGGGGGGAGAGTTAAGATGGCGAGCGAAACCATGAAGACGAGTAGAAGGAAATTTAGTACGATGACCACGACCCAATAGTTTAGGAGACGCAGAAGAAGACTCGGGTGTGGAAGACAAGGCGGGTGACCCCTTAGAGGAAGGGGACGAGGTAGAAGAAGCGGGAGGTGATGTAGGCAAAGAGGGAGAAACTGGGGGGGGGGGCAACAGAAACCGGTTTGGAAGGAGGTAAATCATCGTCATCAAAAAAGGGAGAGAAAGTAGGAACCGGAGGAGAAGGAGAGTCTGATAAAACAGAAGAAGAACTGGCAAAACGAAATTCAGTCTCACAAAAAACAACATCCCGAGAAACAGAAAACTTACGTAATTCAAGATCATAAACCAACCAGGCCTTTTTACCAAATGGATAACCCACAAAAAGACACTTGCGACCATGGGGAGCGAATTTATCACCTCCGCAAGAAAGATTATGCATATAACAAAGGCACCCGAAAACACGCAAGTGGTGAAGAGAAGGAGGTTTACCATACAGAATTTCAAAAGTAGTCTTCCTATTTAAAGCAGAAGAGGGAGTGCGATTGATTAAGTACGCAGCAGTCAAGACACAATTACCCCAAAAAGGAATAGGAAGATTAGCTTGAAAAAGTAAGGCACGAGCAACATTAAGAATGTGTTGGTGTTTACGTTCGACATGACCGTTTTGTTGAGGGGTACCAACACAGGAAGTTTCATGCAAAATTCCTTTTTAACGAAAATAGGAACCCAGACACAAGAACTCGGAACCATTATCACTACGAACAATTTAATTTATCACCTCCGCGAGAAAGATTATGCATATAACAAAGGCACCCGAAAACACGCAAGTGGTGAAGAGAAGGAGGTTTACCATACAGAATTTCAAAAGTAGTCTTCCCATTTAAAGCAGAAGAGGGAGTGCGATTGATTAAGTACGCAGCAGTCAAGACACAATTACCCCAAAAAGGAATAGGAAGATTAGCTTGAAAAAGTAAGGCACGAGCAACATTAAGAATGTGTTGGTGTTTACGTTCGACATGACCGTTTTGTTGAGGGGTACCAACACAGGAAGTTTCATGCAAAATTCCTTTTTAACGAAAATAGGAACCCAGACACAAGAACTCGGAACCATTATCACTACGAACAATTTTGACAGATTTCGCAAATTGATTGTGAATCATGGCAAGAAATTCACATAACTTAGTAGGCACAGATTTCTTATCATCAAGAAGATATAACAAGTAGCATGAGAAAAATCATCAACGATGGTCAAAAAATAACGCGCACCACTAAAAGCAGGAGTACGATAAGGTCCCCACAAATCACAATGAATTAAAGAGAAAAATTCAACACTTTTAGAAGTACTAATGGGAAAAGATGCACGAGATTGTTTAGCTCGGAAACAAATGTCACAAGATTTATTCAAAACAGGACTACTAGAATCAAAAACAGACAATTGCTTTAAAACCTTCACAGAAGGGTGCCCTAACCGCTGATGCCATAAAATCGGGGAAACAACATGAGAAGTCCGAGCAGGAGACAAGCCACGAAAGAAGTAGAGACCCCCCAACTGTTCACCCGCGCCAATCAGAGTCCTCGATGTACGGTCCTGAACAACACAAAATTTATTAGTAAACTGGGCAACAGAATGAGAATCCTCTAATAAATGATATAGAGAAATCAAAATGCACTTCAAAGCCGGAACATAAAGGACATTGTGCAACGTAACAGAATGGCTCAAATGAAGAACACCCGACTACGACGCATAAGTCATAGAACCATCAGGTAACTGAACTGGACGAGGAGAAATAGCTCTCAAATCCATCAAGAAAGCCAAAAAACCTATCATATGATGTGAAGCCCCACAATCAAACATCCATTCATGAGAATAAGGCTTACCAGAGAGTGTATCACTCGACTTGTGATGAGTATCAAGCATGGAGATTAAAGTCTGCCATTGATCCGGAGAAAGACTAGTAACCGGACGTTTACCCGAATCAGTCACGACAGAGCAAGCAAACTGTGAACCGGGTACAATAGTAGCGTTAGCTCGACCAACAGAGCTAGCCGAACCACGACCCGAACCAGCACCATGCCCACGACCGGAGGAACGACCACCACGACCAACCGAGCCACGGCCAGCCGAACCACTTGAATCCCGGCGAGAGTTAGGCCACCAATCGGGATATCCGATAAGATCAAAACAACTGGAAATGTCATGACCAGGTTTGGAGCAGTGAGTGCAAATTATCGACTTGTCTTTCGGCTCAATCGGTTTTGAGTCAAACCGAGACCGAGAAGTATTCCAGCTGGACGGTGGAGTGGGAAGCTTGGCAGACCGTGGAGCTTGAACCACGAAACTCAGAGCATCGGATGCAACTTCATCATTCCCATTGGAGATGGACCGCAGCCGCTCTTCCTGGATAAGCAACGAATATGCACGATTGACAGTGGGAAGCGGGTCTTGAGAGAGCAAACTCGATCGAAGCGTGCCATACAGGGAGGCATCCAGTCCCATGAATAATTGATGCAGCTTCTCAGATTTCCGGCGCCGTTCCAATTCTGCAAGAACGGCGGGAGAACCACATGAACATGACTGCAGTGGTTCGTAGTTGGCTAACTCCTCCCACAGCAGCTGAAGCCGACCGTAATAAGTCGACATGCTCAAACGCTTCTGCTTACAATTCGCTAGATCGGTCTTGAGCTGCTGAATCCGGGGACCATTCACAACACCGAAGCGGTCACGCAGATCCGTCCAGAGAACCGAAGCAACTTCGCGATGAGGAACGGTGGAACGGACGGATGGCTTGATGGAATTACGCAGCCAGGAAACAATCAAAGATTGGTTTGTTCACCAATCTTCAAAATCGGGTGACGTCGCCGGCGGTTGAGGAAGCGTGCCATCAATGAAACCAAATTTCTTACGCGCTCGCAAGGCAGTACGAACAACACAACACCATTCATCATAATTATCAGTCTTCAACATAACCTGAGTGATCGGCGTTCCTGGATTGTCACCGGCAGTAAGGTCGTACGGAGTAATCGTACGACGTTTGGGAATGTCGTGAACCGGTGGCGGAGCAGCAATACCAGCAGAAAGAAGAGTGGGAGATGGAGTACTGGATTCTTCAGCACCGTGTGCCATGAGGCAAAGACGGCGAGGGTTTTTGGTTTTTGGTTTTTTTTTTTTTGTTGTTGTTGGCCGGCAAGCACAAAAATGGCGGCGGACGAGCAGAAAACGAGCAGTAAACGGCGGCGGCTGAGGACGGCTGACAAGCACAAGGCTGACGGCGGCGGAGGACGGACGACGGCGACGGCTGGCAGAGAACGGAGCCGGCCAGAACTAGCCCAGAAAATCCGTAGGTACCAGTACTTTGGATGTCGCCGTGGGAATGGAGCAGTAGCAGAAAAATCCGGCGATGCAGTAGCAGGGAATGGAGTGACAGCAGATGAAGAAGGAAAAAACAGCAGACCGACGGCAGCACAGGCACAGAACGAACGCAGTCACACAACAATGACAACAAAAAAGACTTCGACGGAGAGGAAAGCACGGTTACGGAGTGCGGCCACCAAGCAACAAGGCAACAATAGCAACAACAGCGGCAACAGATGAAAGCGACGGCGCGAGCAGCAACGACACTGACGATGGCAGAAGTCAGTGGCGACCACAAATAGGTTTCGGCGGCAGAGAAAGGAAAAAAAAAATCTTAAGGGTTTTACGGTGGTAGAGGTTTCGGCGGCCACAAAGAAAACCTAGCCTGATACCATGACACAAACTAAATGGCCGGGATAAAACATGATACTCTATTGATCGGTCCACAGAGGGACTATATATACACATCATTTAGGGTTTACGGTGGAAACCCTAGTACGTACAAAAGTTGAAAATATCCCTATACAAATATATATACATATATCGTAACAAGCATCGAAGTACTCTCTCCAATTCCACCCCCCCCAAAAAAAATCATTTTATTAGATTATGTTACTTTGAAAAAAAGTATATTATTTATTATTAGTATTATTTTTATTTTTTTTTTGAATGAGTTAGTAGCTAGCAAAAAGAATTATTTCGATCTTAAGGTGAATTTCAATTTTTTTTTGTGATGGCAATGAATCAACGACATAGTACAAATATACAGGAGCGATAATCTATTTATATCTATTGAAAGCAAATGTCATACAAAAAAAAATTTTCCGTCTAAACTCCACAAAATCCACGTGGCAGTTACTTTCAAGAGTTTTAAAGGAATGCCATAATTTTAGATATTTATTTAAGTTACCATAGTAGATTAATTTAATTTTATGGGTCAATAAATTTTAGGCCACTATTTTTTGAAGTAAATATTAAAATAAAAATTGACAATCAGGCTAATTTCATAATTTTATGTATATATTTAAAATTACCATAGATTAATTTAATTTTATGATCAATTATTTTTTTTATCATAGCGAAATACTTATTTCTTTCTATTCTACATATGTACTTTTTTTTTACACATGTTAAAGAGTGCTCGGGCAATTACGCGGGCTGATAAACTAATTGAACTTAATTCAATATCTTAATGGTAGTAACCAATAATCAAAAATATATAATACACCTGCAAATTAATATGCAAGGAAATACATATAAATACACTTCCTATATGGCTATTTTGTTTGGAGATCTTTTTTTTTGGTGGACTTTAGAGTACAAGTCGAATATGTCTGAACTTCCGCTTCAAGCAATAGAACTAAATTATTCCCGACTTAGTTCTTGGTGAGAAGAAGTGAAGAAATAGGATCATGTTTATATAGCAAATGTTGGGACAAAGAATCTCATATCGGTTTCATGAAGGATGACGATGCCTGGATTTGCTCTTCCCGTTCAACAGTGAAACTCCGATTAGGGTTTCTTGCAAAAGAGGGCCTCGGGGGTCTCCCGAGAGTAGATACTCCGATACTTAAGTTAACAAAAGTGTTTAAGAAACGTATATGAGTAGTGTTTTGTGCTAGAGATAGCGTACCCATATTGTGGTGTGACCAACCCTATTTATAGGCATGGAATTACCTTGATGAAAGCCGAATCCCATTAGGTTTCATGTTCTAGAACCGCCTCTGCTAAGGTCGGTTGGACCATAATTGGCGGATGGGCCAGTCCAATAATCCTCGACAGATATGGACTCGTCAAGTGCCCTTGTCAAGTATTAGTTATATGAAATGAACAAGACTTGACATGAAATAAAACTGACCTGGACTCGGCCTAAGTTGAGTAGGCAAGCTTTGGGCTACATTGTATCGAGTAAGCCCAAGGGAGTGACCAGCGGGTCATGATCCGACCCCGGAAGGTGACCCGAATTGAAATCCCACCTAAATTGCAGCAGACATGCCCCATTACTCAGAACAATTTCCAAACGACGGCATTAACCATCATTACTGCCTTGAAAATTAGTCAAAACGTTGGTTATTTTACTCCTTTTTATATCTACAGAGGAGACGTCCCAAATAACACTCCTTCCTTTCAGATCTAAAAACTCCAAAAAAGCTTTTACACTGCCCGGCATCTGTGTTGACTCCGGCATCATTTAAGGAGGCTGTTGAAATTTTGCAGAAGAAGCCATCTCGAAAAGTGCCATTCTTTGTCGTGAATCCAGCAAAGGCTCCTGTGATTGCTGTTGCTGCTGTAATGCAGAAGCCGCCGGAATTCATTGAAACCCTGGGTAGCTATAACTCAAAAGGCGAGTGGATTCCTTTTCCCCTAGTAAGTACTCGGATTCCCAACTCTATTTTATTCTGAATTCATAGCATAGATTTGGATATCGTTGCGAGTAGAGAAGTATGGCTAGGAAACCAGGCCAGAAATCCGTAGATGATTTCGCTTCCACCATAGATTCCGATGAGAAGGTGAAATAGGTGAGAACGAGATACGACCTGCCCCAGGTTCTAGAAATGAGAGCTCCCCTAGGAACTAAGAGAGCCAATACTCCTCCAGAAGGAAAAATCACCATTTACGATCGCTTTGTGTTTTTAGGGTTGAGATTCCCCCTTTTTCCTTTGTTCGAGGAGATTGTACAATACTATAAAATTCCACTAGCTCGATTTACCCCAAACCTCATAACCTACGTTCTTGGTTTCATGAAGAAATGCCACCGAGTCAAAGTGAAACCTTTTTTGATGTTGTGGAGGTATTTCTTTAGAGTGTCGACTCCGTCCACGGCCTTCAGGATTGGTATATGGTAAAAAGAAACCTTGCATCAGATTCCCAAGAGATAGTAGAGGCTTATGGTGGGTCTCCCATATGGAAATCCAATTTTCTGTACGTAAAAGCACCCGAAAAGTATTGTATGGCTTGAAATCATCGAGAAACCGAAGGTTTTGAGGCAGTAAAAGACAAGTGGACAAAGGAGGACGAAGAAAAGATCAAAGAATTTGACAGCGATTTAAAGAAACTCGAGAAGTACCCCAAGATAATCGAATATGGCGCTGTGCAGCATTTCGTTCCTGTCATGCCAGTCGAGGAGCTAGAAGTAGGTAAAACCCTCGATGCTCCCCTCGAGGAAAAGAAAGGTACTAATCTCGATATTATATCTATGTGTTTAGGTCATGTCGTCGGGAAACGCCGGTTCCGGATTATATGATGACTCAAACCCCTTTAATGTTGTAAACTCAGATGATGATACCTCTACGACGAAATCCGTGGTAGAGAAGATAAAGAAAAAGAAGAAGAAGAGGGTTGTTGCAAGGGAGTCCGAGAAGGGACCATCCACAAAGAAGTCTAAAACCGATGTTTCTTCCTCAAAGCAAATTGAAGCAACAAAGCTGGGCAAAAAGACAATTGCCTCTTTAACCGAGAAGGAGACACCTACAGAGAAGGAAACTGGGCCAAACACTCAACCTTCATCTGTCGAGAAGGGAAAAGGCCCTTTTGAGGGGAATGTTACCATCCTGCTCTCTGAGATACCTGCCGGAGCCCCTTCTGTCGCTGTTCATACCTTCGACAATCCGCCCACCATTGAGTGCCCCGTGTTGGAAGAGTTTGCTGCCAACCTAACCGAGGCAGATGGATTAAAATTGGTAAACATCTCAATCTATATTCGTTTATCTCCATATGTTAGCATAGATGTATATCTTTTCTGTGTTTGGTTTCCACAGATGAGCGTTGTTATGATGAACCATGCAAGAGGTCTAGGGACCTAAGGCAAGAACTGGCGGAAGCTCGACCCAAGAGAGACCAAGCGTTGACTGAGAAGTAGGCTCTCGAGGAGAAGAACCAGCAGCTGCAGGCCAAGGAATTAGAGCTTGCCTCGGTCCAAATCCAGCTTGAAGAATTGAAACAGAAACTTCAAGAGTACTGTGAGCTGCACATCTCCAACGAGGACCTCAACAAATGGTGCACCGTGTTTTGGTGGAGGATGCTATCCTCAGGGGGGATGTCTGTTGCTGTGGAGGAGATTAACACTGCCTCGATGGCTTATGGGGGTCATGCAGTAACCGTCAAAGGCTTAAAAAGACTTAAGTCAAAAAAGCCTGTTAAAGCTAATTAAGCAATTTTTGAAGGAAAACCCCAAGAAGGACATGTATGAGGCATTGGTCTGGGGTCTTTGCAAGCTATCGACGGATCAGCTACCCTTGTGGGAGCCCTTGTGTGCGGCTCTGTCTAAGATAAGTGCTCCCGAGAAGATTGTCTCATTTCCCGGGGATGTGGCTGTTGTTTTCACGAGGGGTCTCGGTGAGGAATTGGCAATACCTGAGGTTTTCAACGAGTACTTTGGCATCGATCTCAAGGAAGATGAAGATGAGACTGCTGAGGAGGACGACACAAGCAATTCAGGCGCCAAGGACCAAGACCCTCCGGTCATGGGGGATACTGGTGTAGCCAAGGAAAAAGATCCCCCTGTCGAGGGAACGTCTGAAAACTACCCAGGGAACGCCTCTCGTTCTCAAACTGCTGTATGAATTCACCCTCCTTGTAATAGACTCCTTCCTAATTTTGAGAATTTTTGTACCACTGCCCATAGCGGTGAATGTGAACTTCTTACTTAAGCATCTGTTGATGCTTTTGTTTTTACATTATTCAATCCTTTTGATTTTACTTCGCGTCTTATGCTAGGAATCATACTTTGTTCACCAGGTGCATATGATGATCTTGGATGAAAACCAAGCAAGAAACTTCCCAATATATGCCATGGTTTCTACGGCAATGAGAAAGTTGGAGAATATCCACAATATTTCTGTTGTGAGGACCCTCGAGAAGGACATTGTAGATGCTGTCCAAGCATACAATGTGCAGATTCACTCTCGACTGGTACAGCGGTTTAAGCAGAAAGAAGAAGAGTATCAACGCCGCCTTCAGCAATATGATCTCGACTATCAGGATTCTTTGGTCTTGGAGGCAAATGTGAACGAAGATATGGCAAATTTGCAACAAGAAAATGCCCGACAAGCGTCGTGAAGGAATCATGGTATCCCCATGGTTTCTCGAAAAGTTCCACATCCTTTCACTTGTTGAAAAACAAATCCAAATCATGACAGAACACTTCATCGCTACCATTGAAATGGTGAAGAAAAGGACCAAAGAGGCCGAGTTTTATTCTAAGCAATCTGCTATCTTACAGAATATACTGGCTGACCGCGAGATTGCACTACCTATTCTCGATGACCTAGATGAGAACGAGGAAGCTCGAGAGAGGACGACTGCCGAGGAGTTCCTTTTGAGGCTCAATGAACAAGACTGGGAAATTGTCAATTTGAAAGACAAGCTAAACCAATCTATTCACCAGCTTAGAGTGTTAGGATTCTCGGGCGTGATTAAGCCATCTCGATTTAATCCCAAAGGGGAAGATCTTAGTATTTAGGGATAAATAGATGTATTTATCTAACCTCGCACATGGTGTGAGGGCAATGTATTTGATTCGAGCCTTGTAGGCGTCGTTTTTTGATTCATACTCAAGTATTATTTGTATAGCGTTTTTTTGGCTGGATGTAAAGTACACGTCTCTCTCGAGGGAACTGGGTACGAGTTCCTCGACTTTGTACCGCGATCTGCGGTGGTTACAAGGAGAATTCCTCGATTTTTGTCTGGATGTTGAATACACGGCTCTTAACGAGGATGGCCTTTCAGAGGGAGTCCGTCTCGAGGACTAGTCATGGTAATGTCGACAATGTAAAAGAATATGCAATGATTTTTATTGAATAATTACCCAAGGCGGGTTAGCATTACATATGAACAAGCAAAAGCAGCAAAGCAAATAAAGCACATAAGACAAATAAGTTAAACTAGTATGTAGCAAAACAAAGGCTTAAACATAGAACCTGTGGAGGTTCTGGATATTCCACCATCGAGGGAGGATGACTCCACTATCATCTGTGGTTTGTAGATGATAGCTGCCTGCTGGAGAGGCTTGAATAACTTTGTAGGGTCCTTCCCAATTTGTAGTGAGTTTCCCGGGAGCTTCAGGTCGACTGGCTTCATTCTTTCTGAGTACGAGATCCCCCGTCGCGAGGTCTGTTGCCTTAACTCGCTTATTGTAGTGTTTTTAGAGGACCTCCTTGTACTTTGCTTCCCTATTCTGACGGCGTCTCGTCGTTCCTCAAACAGGTTGAGGTTTAGCCTGATATCATCATTGTTGTTTTCGGAGGTTTAGCCTGATGATGTCAGTACCCCATTGGTAAAATAGCCAAGGACTTTGAACAGTGACCATATCGTGTTGTGGCTATCGAGTAATAGGGGAAAAGTGCTGACATCTATCTCACTTTTGCACAAATTGATATGCATCTTTGAAGATCGTTGGCCAAAAGTACCCGGAATGTAGTACTTTCTTAGCAAGTGCCCTGGCTCCCATGTGTGCTCCGCATGATCCCTCGTGAATCTCTTTGAGGACGTATGCTGCTTGTCTTGGTCCGATACATCGTAGCACGGGTAACAGGTATCCGTGCTTGTATAACACCCCATCTTTTAAAGTGTATTTGGCCGCTTTTAACTGGAGCACTCGAGCATCGGGCTTATTACTGGGTAATGTTCCATCCGTGAGATACCGAATGAATGTGGTTATCCAAGTGTCGCCGTCCTCGGTGATAGTCATTACAGGCATTTTTCAAACGCTAGGCTCGGGGAGAATCTCGACCCACACCTTGTGACTAAGGTGTGCAAAGTTAGAGGAAACCAATTCGCTCAACGCGTCTGCCCTTGTGTTTTTTGTCCTTATGATGTGGGAGATATTGCAGTTCTCAAACTTATCTTTTAACTCGAGAACTTTCCCTAAATATTGCTTGAGTTGCCCGTCATTTGCTGTGTAATTGCTTGCGATTTGTTTTACCACCACCTGAGAGTCGTTAAAGACTTGGATTTTTTGAATCTCAAGTTTTAGAGCCATATTTGTCGAGGAACACCTTTCATGTCGGAGGATGGTGCCCAAGCAAATATATCACGGAATTCGCGTAGGAAGGCGATTACCTCGGCTCGCAATATTCCATCTATGGATACTCCCAGCTGGATTGTCTTTTGAGGCTCTTTCTCGTCCAAGACCAGTTCCTCTGTTTTACTACTAAGTGGTGGTTGATGAGGAAGGTCGAGATCCATGGACTGATTTTCTTTCTTGGATTTTATTGACAAAATCCCTTACTGAACTGAATAACACTCCGGCGCAGCGGTGGTACCTCCTGATGCTATTTTTTTCCCCAGTTTTGACTACCGTGAGAAGGTATTCTCGAGAACTGCGTTGGCACCTTTGTACTATACCTATCCCGCATTCTGTTGGGAATTTCATTGCTAGGTGATAGAGGGACCAAATAGCGCGGGCTTGGTACATCCACGGTCGTTCTAGGATCACATTAAACGGCGAAGGTGCATCAATTATGGCGAAATCCATGGTTAAGGTTACCATTCGAGGATGCGACCGTACCATGATTGGAAACCTTACGATTCCGCTGGGGATAATCGTGTGCCCAGAGAAGCCCATTAGTGGTAACGTTGCCGGATGCCAATCAGGATTTTGTATGTTCATCTTCTTAAAGCAATTGCTGTAGATGATGTCGACTGCACTTCTATTATCAACGGATACTGGGCTCATGCGAACGTTTCCTATAATGGCTTCAATAACCATGACGTCGCTGTGTGGACAGATGCCTGAGACTACGTCACTATCCGAAGACTATTGTTTTGGTTCACTTGAACCATTTATGGCTAGGTTCTTGTGGAGGCATTTTGGTTACCTCTCGAACTGATGCCTTCATGGCTGTTGTAGAAAGAACCTCGAGTGGTGCACCGTAGATTGTCCCCACATTGTGAGTAATTCGCTTAGCAGGATCAGGTGGAGGCAGGGGTGTCAATCTTCGACACGACACGAAAACATGATCGAACCTAACACGTAATTAGCGGGTTTAGGGTTGAGTTCTGGCGGGTTCGTGTCAAAATCGGGTTGAACCCGCAAACACATTAAACAAAACGAGTCGAAATCAGGTCGACCCTCCATGACTCGTTTGACCCGAAATTTAAAATAACTAATTTATTAATTTTGAGGCCTTATTAGGTAATTATTAAAAAGATAACATCTAAACCCTAGTATATTTTCTTATTTTAATCATCAGATCCAATGGCGTCTCCTTTTTTCCCCATCAGTTCGTCTTCTTTCAACTTTCAACAGTCAACAACAGTGCCTCTCTTTGTCTTCTCCATTTCTTCCTAATACGTGCTATCCCTACCACTACCATCAAGTTCTCAATTTCCAGGCTAAAGGTAAAGCACTAAGGGTTGAACTTATGATGCTTTATTTAATTAGTTTTCACAAAAATTTTATGTATACAAAAACTCATAGGTTACGTATATTGTTGGTTTGCAATTTTGCATGCATCCTTTTTTGCCTTATTTGGATAATTATACTTTTTGCATGTTATTTTTTTATATATATTTAATGGATTATTATACTTTTTGCATGTTAATTTTTTTATATATATTTAATGGATTATTATATTGAATGGTAGTATGAACTGTATGATTATTGATTTGTTTGGTTTTTTTGGGGGTCTCTGGGTCTTGATTCATTTTTTTTTCTTTTTGCTGCTGGTTAGTTTGTTTATTTCTTTTTTTTTTTACGGGTAGTGATTTGTTAGGGTTTTTTTTGGGGAGTTGAGTCAAGAATGAACCGCGATTTAAAAATGATGCTTCTCCTGAAGAAATTTTTTTGGATTATTTATTTATTTGGTTATGGCAGATTGGCAGTGATACAAAGTGATACAAAGTCAGTTATAATAATATTGGTTATTGATATTCATTTTTGTTGACGTTGATGATGACGGTGATGATGATGACCTTGACGTGACCATTCCAGACCCAACGGCATCCAATCAAGTTGAAGCAACCATACCAAAAGGGGGTAAGAAAAAAAGAAGGTTAACTTCTGATATATGGAAGTACTTTGATTTGCTTGAAGCGAAAGCTGGGGAGGAGTTGAAGTGTAAATGTAAAAAATGTGGGGCAATCTACTCTGCTGAAAGTAAGTATGGTACTGGAAATCAAAAGAGGCACATAGGGAGATGTGTTAAAATAACAACCAAAGATATTGGCCAATATCTTCTCTCCGCAGAACAAGGTGCACTACTTTCTACTCGAAACCCACTGTTTCAGCAAGAAAAATTTAGAGAATTGTTGGTGCAAGCTATCATTAGACATAACTTACCATTTACTTTCGTTGAATATGAGGGCATTAGAGATTTGCTTAAGTATTTGGAACCGAAACTTGCACATATTAGTAGGAATACTGCTAGAATGGATGTGAAAATGAAGCATTCTTCTCAAATTGGTAGGCTCCGTGATGAGTTAAGTTCATGTCCTAGTCGAATTTGTTTAACTTCTGATACATGGAGTTTAATTGTCACTGATGGTTACTTGAGTTTGACTGCACATTATATTGATTGCGATTGGGTGTTGCATAAGAAACTTCTGAATTTTTCTTACATGCCTCCTCATCATAATGGCGTATCTTTAGCTGAAAAGATTCACTGTTTAGCCATCGAATGGGGTATTGAGAAGAAATGATTTTCAATCACTTTAGATAATGCATCTTCAAATGATGGTTGTGTTGAGATTCTTAATTCTCAACTGAAACTGAAAAATGCTTTGGTGCATGATGGGGCCTTGTTTCATGTAATATGTTGTGCACATATTTTGAATTTGATTGTACAAGACGGTGTCAAGGTAGTTGATGGTTCTATTGAAAAGGTTAGGGAGTGTGTCAAATACATCAAGGGGTTTCAAACGAGGAAAGACAAGTTTTTAAAATGTTGTGAGCAAACTTCTCTTGATAAGAAAAAATCCTTGGTTCAAGATGTGCCTACAAGATGGAGTTCCACATATAGGATGCTTTCATGTGCAATTTATTATCGGCTTGCCTTCTGTCAATTGCAATTAAGTGACTCCAACTTCAAGAGTTGTCCAAGTTTTGAAGAATGGAAGAG